TTTAAGACAGTCTCTCACAATTTTATGGGGTTCAATGTTTGGGACAGTTAATCAATCTGGAGTATGTTGTCTAAGTCACAGAGAACAGTACCAGTTTTGACATGATTCTGCATGATTTACAGTCTCCACAGTGAGGCCCTCAGTTTGGAAAAGCAGAGACACCACATGTCAGAAGTGAAGTGCATTAATATTAGACATATATAACAGCAGCGTGGGGTGCCAGGCAGTAGCTGGTCTACAAGGGGAGCCAGTTTAAAACTAGTTCCCTTTGCATATTGGCTACCTGTCATCCCGTGCTACTGCCTCTGATTCAAAGGCAACAGCACAGGGTGGCAGCAATCCTTGTCCGGGGATGGGTCCGAACTCCCTGCCCAGAGTGAGCCAGAACTGAGCCAGCCTGCCCGTTTAGCTTCTAATACACTTTAAATGCAGAGCCACAGCAGGGGTAGGTCACGGACCCGTCGCAAGCCAGGATTGAGCTGGACTGCTGGCCAGACTTCTAAAAAATGTACTGCTAGTGGTGGGGGGGAAATGCATGTAGTCTATAAGCTTTTGCTTGTAGGTTATTTGGTTAATCGACTACACTATTTCATCCCTAATTTCTTTAGCATAAGTAGTTAGCACATATTATATAGACCATTCAAGTAAAAGTGCATCCTTAACACTTCTGCAGTAATAGGACAAAAAGAGGGAGTTAGACATTGAATTTATAGTTTATTTCAACAATCTGTAAGCCATTAACTGTGCCATCCCATCCATAGGATGGTTCAGGGTGGCCTCCCCAGGCTCCGAGCTTTGGGGGGGCCCTGTGGGGCCCAGGATGTCCTGGGGAATTATTGAGGGGTTTAAGGTCAGCAACAGGGATTGGGCCCATCCCCAGACTCAGTGGCCGTGGCAGGGACCCACCCCCACAGTCAGTGACCACAGCAGGAGCTACAGGAAATAAGGCCCCAGCCTGCTCCTCTCTGACCCGACCCTAGCCTGCTATCTTCCCCCGATTGACACAGCTGGGAGCCGGGTTCAAGGAAGCACAGTGGGATGGATTGCGCTACTTCTCACCACCTTGATGAGTGCTAGGCACAGTGTACAGAGAGAACATAGCCCCCACAGATCAGAATCCTCTCCTACACCCATGCCCATATCTTATCTAACCTCCATCCCAGATCTTGCGCCTTCTCTGCTAATATCATGAAAGAGTGCGGACCTTGAAAAAATTATTGGAGTAGCCTCCCCCCATCAAAAATTATTAGCCACCCCAGCCATAAGACCAGAGCTCCATGTGTCATCCATCTATCTATCTATGTGTCTGTCTGTCTATCTACTTTAAAGTCACCCACTTTATCAGACATAGAATTCATAGAGCAGAAAATAAATCTTCAGTTATCTCACTTTTTTTTTGTTGGACCAGGAAGACAATGCAGCTGGATAAATAAAGATCAAATGTGCTGACTTCTCTTGTTTCCCAAATCAGTTTGGGACACTAGAAAATGTAGAGCTCTGTGAAATGTTTTTCACACTTTTTTTTTCACTAGGCATAGAGAATTCTCTCGTGATGAACCTGTGTGAAGACTACAGAAGAGTATCTGTCATGTCTCAAAACAAAAAAGTGAATATGTGACATAATGGGATTCCTAAGTTATTTAGCAAAAGCCAAATATATTTTAATTCCTGTGGTGTAAATTCACTTGTTTTTCAAACTATGTCTTGTTGGTTATTTGGAGATAGCATTTAATTTTGAAATTTATGTCCTGAAAAGATCTAATGTCATCTCTGTGTCATACACACACACACACACACAAAAATCAACTTTTATTTCCTTATTTTATGTAATTGTAATATAAACCATTCATACTGTCTTATCAACTGCATGTAGTACATAATATGTAAAGAGTCAACCCCTTTAAGGAGGGAGGGGAGAGAGAGGAGTGTTCTTGTTTGAGGCTGGAGTGGCCACCAGGGCACCCTGGGAAGGCTGGAGGCCCCTTATTTCAAAATAAGTGTCTACACAGCACTTATTTCGAATTAGCTATTTCGAATTTGACATTATTCCTCATAGAATGAGGTTTACCAAATTCGAAATAAGTGCTCCACTATTTCGAATTTATTTTGAAATAGTGGTTTGACTGTGTAGACGCTAGTAAAGTTAATTCGAAATAACGGCTGTTATTTCAAATTAACTTTGATGTGTAGACATGCCCTAAGAAAACAATTGCAGAAACAAGTGAACATAGAACTAATAGTCACTTGTAGCTATTATCCTCTTGAACTATTAATAAGCAGAAAGAAAGAACAAATTATTAATGTATTATTTTGTGTTATCTGTTACATACTTTAATGTTACTGGCAATACATCTTTACTGATATCTGAGCTTTCCTTTCCATTTTATTTTACAGAAGAAACGGAAACAGAGTACTCAAGATGAAGATGCAATCAGTATCTGTAGCCTTGATGCAGCAGTGAGTAATTTGTTTAGTGTTTTTTGGTTTTGGTTTTTGTCTTCAACTAAAATGTGGATTTACAGTTGTTTTCTGAAACAAAGGTACATTGGCCATTTCATTTGCGGTCTGTTTGTTCGTGGCTCGAAACTGCAGTTTTTCATCCTAGTTAAATATGAAATTTAAGATTTATCTTTGCCAACTGGACTGAAAATGTCCTGTTCCTATAGTGTAACAACTGGAGGATAATAATATCAGTAGAATAGACTGTTGTTAGAAAGTAATAGATCACCAGCTGGTAGATAAATATCAAGACCAAAACTCCATGTAATGCCAAGGCACTAAACCAGATGTAAATTTATTTCATTGTATCATTGTATTTCACTGATTTTATTTCAGTTGTATCAAATGATGTATTATGTTAGTACTTTCAAAATGTATATTAGTGTGGCAGCAAGAGCTAAGAGCATTGTTACTGAAGACCTGCATTCTGGTTCTTCTGTAGAATGTTTCTGACATTAGAAGCCACCTTTTACATAAAGGATGTAGTTTTTAAATGTGTACAGTTCTCTGTTCAAATAAGCTGTTTCTGATTGGCTGATTCTCCTCTGTTCTGCCTATCTCCTCTCTACAGACCCACCCAAAAAAGATCCCCATTGAGGCTGTCTAGACTGTAGGCTTCTTTTGGAAGAAGCTTTTCCGGAAGAGATCTTCCGGAAAAACTTCTTTTGAAAGAGAGCGTCCACACAGCAAAAGCACATAAAAAAATGATCTGCTTTTTTGGAAGATAGCATCCACAATTGTGATTACTATAAATTGTGATTACTATGGGCGGAATGGCCACCAGGTTACCTGTGCTTTTTCCTGGTGGCCTCTTCTTTCTGAAAAAAAAAAAAAAAAAAACCCTGCTCCCTATCCACACACGCCTTTTTCCGAAAGAGCTCTATTGGAAAAAGGCTTCTTCCTCATAGAAAGAGGTTTACTGCTGTTGGAAAAACCCATCTGTTCTTTCGACTTTCTGTCAAAAGAATGCAATTGCAGTGTGAACGTAAGTGTAGTTTTTCTGGAAAAATGGTTGTGTTTCTGGAAAATCTCTGCAATTGTGGATATGTCCTGACTTCAGTTAATGTTAGATTAACCTTTTTAGTGAGGAAAAGTGCACAAATTGAAATACCTATTGTTTTTCATGTGCATGTTGCTATTCTGACATGAGAGTATTCTCATACTTTAAGAGATTTATCAGATTAAAATCATACTTCTTACTGAAAACGTTTAAGAATCAACAACTGAATTAGAGATTTTTTTCTTTTTTTAATGTCTTTGTTTTATGAATAATAATTTTCACTGTTTTTCTGCTGTTCTCCATTAGTCATTTTCTCTTTTGCTGCAGATCTTTCACACTGTATAGTGAGGAGAAAGTAATTTTAAAAAAATAGAATATTTAAGTTGTACCACCCCATAATATAACAGAATTTTTCAAGAGCAGGCATGGTACCTGAAATCGCTTTGCATACATTTTTCTAAATACAGAATAGCTTTCAAGTTGGTGTTTCCTTACTGCTAAGTTATATAAACTGGTTGAGGGTTATACAACTTCTATCAAATCTCTCACTCTTAGAAAGGTGTATTTCTTCCTTATGAGTATCTGATTGAGGAACTCTCATAAAGTGATACCACAAAGGTTTATAAATTCTATTTATTCAGTAATTCCCACTTAGTTAGAAATATAGTTACCCAGGTGTTTTTTCATTGTGCCTTTCTGTTGTTTTCAGGCTTAGAGTGGGCTTTCTGAATATATTACTTAACTGAAAATAAATGTATCTGAGCCATATTTATATTCCTCCAGCAAGACTAGGGTCCAAAAAAATAGTTCAAATTATTATTCTAAATTAGGGTATTCCATTACATATATATGCAGCATCCAAAATAAGCTGTGTCAGATAAATCTAATTTTATGTAATCAGAATAATTTTTTCTGACACCAAGAGGTTTGTTTCAAAGATAAAGTATAGACTGGACCACCCTGATTTGGCACCCTTAGGTCCTGAGCGCTCCTGAATGAGGGAATTTTCTGGACCAAGGGAGGTTCTCTACCACTGCCGTGAGTGGTCGCAATTAAGCAAACCACCCCCTTCCCTTGGGTTCGCTAGGACTTTGCAGAACTCTAGTCTGCCCCCTTGCTTACCTGGGAAGTCATCAATAAATTTAGACCAAATACCAATTTGTGTCTTAATCAATGAGCATAACTTTATTGATGTTGCCACTTAATGAATAACAAAGTCAAAAGATAACAGCTGAGAATTAAAAAGAAAATAATAAAAGAAAAATACAAAAAGCAAATTGTTTCTGCTAGCGTGATTTCAAGATTTAGTGATGTCAGCTAATTCGTTATCTAGTTTTTTAATTTCTTCTAGATTAATTTTTAAAACAACTGCAACTATGAGGATCCTTGATCTTATAGCTTATCGAGATTATTTTGTTTTTCTTGATTTTTTTAAAATCTTTTTGTTAGGCTTTTAGACTCTTTTTGTTAGACTTTTTGACTCGTTTTGTTAAGTTTTTCAGAGTCTTTTGTTAAGTTTTTTGACTCACCCAATCAGGTGTAGCAGCATCTCTCTACTGGCCAGGTAGAGGACGATGAATGCTGTTACGATGCCTACTTCGGTATGGACCTCCTGCCTCTTGTCATCAGAGAGCAGCACATGAGTTCAGTTTCCAGAATGAGTTGTAGATGATGAGATACCCGCAGTCGTTACTTCAGGGTATTTATGGCCTGATCTTTCATTGTCTATTCAGTTCTGTGGTTAATTTGAGATGCAAAACATTTTTTTTTCTTAAGGGCTAGCGAATTAGCTGAGGATCTTGTAAGTAGATGCAAAAAACATTTTTCTCTTACACCAAATTTGGCGTATTACTCAAGAGCTAGCCAATTAGATGAAGCTCTTGTAATTAAATACAAGAAATGTTTTTCTCTTACATCAAATTTGGTGTGTTGCTTAAGAGCTAGCAAATTAAATGAGGATTTTACTGCTTATCCTACATTATCATGTTTCATAACACATTTCCTATTACACTCCTTCTTAACAGCAAAAAAAAAAAGCAATACATGTAGTCTGCAGTTAGGCTACTTCCTCTTAAACATAGCTGTCTGTGCTTTTGCTATGGCTTAATTTTAAAGAGCTGCTAAGCATACATGACAACCACCAGCCCCCCAGTCTACTGCTGCCTCTGCTTCTGGCCCTGGCTGGTCATCCTGCCATTGGCCCCAGCCATGCCGCTGGCCCTGGCACAGCTGGCTGCCGGGCTGTTGCTGGCCCTGGCCTTGGCCCCAGCTTTCCTGCCATGCTACTGCCAGCCCCTCTGGCCTCCCAGCCCAGCAGAGCTCCCAGCTGCCAGCCCTCCTGCTGCCTGACTCCCAGCCAACGGGATTCTCTGGCCCAGGGACATCCATGGTCCTGCCGGACGTTGGATGTTGCCGGACTAAAGAGTCCTGGTTTAGCGAGGTGCAACCTGAATTGTTTTGTGGTTCTGGGCACATAGGTCAATAAAGGGAAAGGCATGTATAGTTTACTTTTATGCTGTGAAGATTCACTATGTCACTGCTAGCTTGTAGATGCCTCAGTCAAACGACATTTACGTGTGGAAACCAGAGAGATGATTTGTATACATCACTGATGTGCAGGCCACAAACTAATGCAAATTCTGTTAAAGTTAGGTTAGTTGTCATCATCTTATTGAGTGCAAACCTTTAACAATCCAATTTGTGGCAGCCTCATCTGCAAAGTGCAGAGCCTTAAGAGGACCATCAAATCTGGTCAGAGGGCATTGCGACATTGTCTGTCGTTGGCCACACCTATGTATGTGATTCTCTCATTGCCCCCAGTATGAAGACTGGCTACACACTGACCTTAGCCTGTTAAAAATTAGTTCAGAAGGGTGCATGAGAAGCAAGGCAAATCAAAGCTGGATACGCATGTGGTCAGGTCAATTCTAAGAGGCTGGTTTCTAACATCAACTTCAGACCATTCTTCATGTCACATTAATCTTGCAGAGAAATTTGTGGCGGTCTGGTGGGTCCACAAGTGTGTTTTGGGGTGACTGACAAGGTAATGATGGTTGGCTCTGGTTTGCCCTGATCTTTGCAACAATTCTGACTGTAGCATCCTTTGAGGCATGTGTGAATGAGTGATGTTGCTTATTACAGGGAGCCATTGTGCTGGTGTGAGTTGAATTTTCTTGATTATAATGCACATGGTTGATTGTAATTGTGCGTGTAAAAAACTGACATGAAGCAAACGGAGCCAAACCAGAACACAGTATTCTGCTGCAGAGTACTTGGATTATTGAAGAGTTTGTTTCCTCCCCATGAAGAGCCAGCCAGTTTGCTTAGAAGGTTGGTATACGACCTCAATTTAGTTACAGTTTTTCTCAGGTGGGAAAGATATGTGAGATATAGTATAGGTAGGCTTATTCTGAGGTAGGCTGGTTGAGAATCTGTATTTCAAGTGATGTTCATTAAGAGAGATATTCAGTGCTTGGGCTGCTGTGGCATTATATAGACGCATCAGACTTGAAACTATGTTGGTCACACTTGGTTGTAAATGCCACCATCTACAAGTATTTGGCCCATCTTAAGTCAGTTTTGAGGGTGTTTTCAATGTTCTGGGAATGACAGTGCTTGGACACTTCAGGAAATGTCATCTGTATAAATCCGAGTCAGTCATTTGCTTTATCTTATGTTCTTCATGCCTGTTGTCATAAAATGAACAAAATATTCCAACCATTTGGCTCCTTCCAGGAGCTACAGTGTAGCACAGGATATTGCATTTTACTTTAGGGTTTATTTTTGCTGAAAGGTATTTCTTTATTGTTTGAAGTTTCATTCTGCTAGTTCGAAGCAAATGGGTATATTTTACTTCATGTATAATAAAATTTGTGGAAGCAAGAAATGCACCACAAACGGAAAACTTCTTGTTTGCTTTGCTTTTAATGGAACCAGAACCATTGAGACACTGTCACAA